ATTCTAAACAGTTTGCTGTTCTGAGGAATTACAACTGCTTTCCAGATTACAACTGCTTTTGCCTCTAACATTCTAAACAGTTTGCTGTTCTGAGGAATTACAACTGCTTTCCAGATGGCAGTTTGCTGTTCTGAGGTAAAATGTGTCCAATCTCCAGGTGAGGGCTGGAGATCACTCAGAATTACAACTGCTTTCCAGATGGCAGAGATCAGTTCCCCTGGAGAAAATGGTGGACTCTGTGTCCTTATATCCTGCTGAGATGCCCCCCCCCATGACAGCCAATGTGATGTGGCAGTCAGGGTTTCAGTGTACAGTGGAGGCTGCAGGTGGGGAGGGATATGGAAAGCTGAAGAGGGGGAAATAAAGGTAGGTTGATTATTGGCTGGGAAGGAGATAGGGTTGCCAAGTCCAGGTGGGAAATTTCTGGATATTTGAGGGATGGAACCTGGAGAGGGTGAGGTTTCAGGAGGGGTCGGACTCTGACAGATAGAATGCCATAGAATCCACCCTCCAAACCAGCCATTTCCTCTTGGGGAACCATTGTTGCCAATCTCCAAGTGGGGGCTGGAGATCACTCAGAATTACAACTGCTCTCTAGAAGGAAGGGGGAGTAGATGGAAATCTGAAGTCAGAGTGGCAAATAAAAGTAGGTTGATGTTTGGCTGGGAAGGAGATAGGGTTGCCAACTCCAGGTTGGGAAATTCCTGGAGATTTGAGGGATGGAGCCTGGAGAGAATGGGGTTTGAGGAGGGGTGGGACCTCAGACAGGTAGAATGCCATAAACTCCACCCTCCAAACCAGACATCCCCTCATAGGGAATCATTGTTACCAATCTCCATGTGAGAGCTGGTGATCACTCAAAATTACAACTGTTCTTCAGTTAGCAGAGATAAGCTTCTCTGGAGAAAATGGTGGACTCAGTGTCATTATACCCTGCTGAAGTCACCACAGCAAATTGACTGAGTGCCCAAGGCCGGGGCACCCACCCAGAGCCTCTTTCTAGAGTTCGTTGTATTTATTTCCACAATGGGCCTTATTCCTAGTAATCTTATAAAGCTCGATCATGTCACCCCTCAGCCATCATTTCTCCAAGCTAAATAGCCTCAAGTGCTTTAACCTTTCTTCACAAGGAAAGTGTTCCAACCCTTTTATCATTCTAGCTGCCCTTTTCTGCCCTTTTCCCAGTGCTATAATATCCTTCTTGAGGTGTGGTGACCAGAACTTAAAGTTAAACTGGAAAAAACACATCTCGGGGCCCCAGACACAGATAAATTTAGACATTGCGGGTGAAATGGAAATTATGCCAAGTATCACAGAGCCATGAGCGAGCTCCATTGAAAATCAACTTCAGATACTAAAATGTATGATTTTGTAAATGTCAAGCATTCCTACCTTGTTTTGATAAGGCAAACGGAGCTACTAAACAAATGTAGTCATTGCATGCACTTGATGATGATGATGTTTATTACTTATTTGCAAGTGAAAATAGTACCTGGCAGAAATGCCTACTTTTGAATAGTACTGTGATTTTCAGTATTGGATTGAATCTAATATTCTTGTACCATTAGCAATGTGGAAGCTACTGGCATTGTAGGAAATATTCTCAGATAGCTAAAGGGAATCTTTGAATCCAATGCTGTGCATTTGCCATGGGAAAAAAAAATAGCAGGTCTTTAAAAGTGACAAGGATGGTTAATAAACAGACTTGTAAACTGTTGGATTTGATTCATTAATTAACAGCTGATCTGTTTGGTCCCATCCTGGAATAAGAAAAAGGAGGAACAATGGCTCAGAGGTAGAAGGTTCCAGGTTCAATCTCTATCATTTCCAGTTTAAAATAATAATAAAAAGATGTGACAGACCTCAGCCTGAGACCCTGGATATCTACTCCCAATCAGAACAGACCATACTGAACCTTGATAGGCCAACGTCCTGATTCTTTATAGGGCAGCTTCATGTATGTTCATGTAGAATAACCATGAATGCAAGTATTTAAAGTTTAGATGAGTAAAAATCAAATCTTGCACTAATGTAATTAACATTTCTGTATAATTGGTTTACTTAAGATTTTAATTTGGACAGATATACATAATGAATAGGGAGAGAATACTTACACTGTATCACTAATCCAGGAATCAGAGGGTTGCCTGAAGTTATTCAGCTCTCCAGTAACTGTGATGGAAGACATAATGCCACCAATGATCAAATCACCTGGCTGAAAATACCTATAAGGAGCAGGGAGGGACTCACCAACAGAGTTTTTCACTGTATGAGTTGTCCATGCCATGTGAAAAAGCAGTACGACCAGTAATATCATTATCCTATAATGTGCAAATATTCCATCAACTTGCTGGTTGCCTTGTTTCACCTTTCGTTGCATCCTTCCTTTTTTTTGTTGTTGTCTCTACCAATGGGTTTATACTTTGTGTGTTACAGATATATGATCTAAATACACTTCTAGATCCTCTATGATTGTCTGATAAATAGTTAGTGTGATTTTTTTCTGTTGTTAATAAGTCCACTTAGGTTTTCTATCACACTTGAAGATGTTTTGACTCATGTATTTTATAGACAATTTACAACTGCTGTTCAAGGATATTCTGCAATGGGACTGTAACAGAAGCAATTCTGAAGAAGATATCGAAACAGTGTCTCAAGTAGCCAACAGACCGTCAATTGCTATACCTTGCTAATAATGATCACTCTCTGTATTATGGATTGACTTTTTTAATATAAATTTGGTCATATTTCACTGGATTATGCACTGTATACAGGGACTGTTTTCACTAATCATGCTGTACTTCTTGCACTGTATATATTTCTATTCGGTTTGCACACATATTAGTATATCAGCCTTTTCTGTTGTGTGGCCTCTGGTATTCAGTACCCTCTTTCTTTCCACACTAACTACATTCTACTGAGCACACCGGTCTGATTTCTGTGCCCATGACTCTACTCATAAACTGTGTTGAAGAGTGAAGAAACAGAGATCATACTGAATGAAGCTCGCCTGTTCCTAGTCCCTGGGCTTTGATTTGAGTTGTACTGGGACTATTTATTCACCACTCAGTGATGCCCTCAGTGTCTGAAGATGGGCTTCAACAAAGTTGTGTTAATCACTATTATTTGTATAATTATAGGATAGGAGAAAATAACTTGCTTGAAATAATGCTTTTGACCCTGTCATCAGTGGAACAGGATGAAAGTTCCACGTCTGGGCCATGTCCATAGCTATGGCCACATCTGGAGATAATCCCAGTGTAATGTAATGGTTAGAGTGACAGACTAGGAGCTGGGGGACCCAGGTTTGAATCCCCGTTCTGTCACTTGCTGAGTGACCTTTGGCCAGTTGCTATCTCAGCCTCACTTATCTCAGAAGATCATTGTTATGAGGGTGTGAGGTCCCACGCCTGGCTGCTCCTGCCCCTACAACAATTTGATATAACACCACCAGGACTCACACCATGATATCACTGTATCCAATCCATAACATCATGAGGCCCTGAGCATGAAAGTCTACAGACTGCTTATAGCACATGAAGATCACCAAACAATTAAAAAATGGCAAAGGAGAAGAGCAAACTATCACAATAAATGTTGGAGGGGTATATTGACTCACAAGAAGGGGAAATATTTTGCAAAGCTCTAAACTGATCTCCAAAGGGGTTTCCCTCCCCCTTAAAGATATAGTGATTATATATCTTAGAAAATGTAAATCCCGATCTTTGCTTGGATAGTGGTCTTTGGGGCATTGCACCCATGCCATCCATGAAAATGAAAAGCTTGTTTTAATATCCTGAAACTCCTGTAATTGTTTCACTTCCTATCAAACTGTGTGACAGAGTCATTCTACTGATGGTTAATGGGCAGCAGGGTGGTCTTCTCCCTCCCTTCCAAAAAAGCTTATTAAGAAAGATATCAACTTTTTCAAAAAAATGTGCATAATTAATAGGAATCCCCCTTTAGCTATGATTAAGAAAGGTATTTAACTCCACTAGTTTCAACTGAGCAGATTAGGAAGCCAGCATGGTGTAGTAGTTAAGAGCGGCAGACCCTAATCTAAATTTAAAGGAAAGAAGGGAATATGTTTTGATTTTCATCAACAGCTACTACAACCAGTGTTCCCTCTAAGCTGAGTTAATGTGAGCTAACTCACAGTTTTTTAGCCTCCAGCTTACACATCATTGTCTTAGCTCAGGAAGGATGGCTCTAGAGCAAACTAATTTATGCAGTAGTCAAATTGCTCAATCACAACTTATAAATGCCAGTAGCTCACACAGTACAATTTCTGCTCACAGGACTCCACAGCTTAGAGGGAGCATTGACTACAATTTAATTCTCTGTTCATTCTCTCTCCAGATACTAATCTGGAGAACCAGGTCTAATTCCTCACTCCTCCACATGAAGCCAGCTGGGTGCCCTTGGGTCAGTCACAGCTCTCAAGTACAGTTCTCTCACAGCTCTCTCACCCCCACCTACCTCACAGGATGTCTGTTGTGGGGAGAAGAAGGGGAGGAGATCGTAAGCCACTCTGAGATTCCAAGTGAAGAGCAGGGTATAAATCCAACTCTTCTTCTTTTGTCTTCTACAGTGCAAACT